TGGTGAAGAAGAGCTCTAGAAATCGCCTATGGGCTGTGGAGAAGATGAGTTCGTGTGTTTTTGGGTGAAAAATCCCGTCACTGTTCTGTTTTAAAACTTAAAAATCACAGGGCGAAATCGCCCTTCGCGTTCGCGGGAAGGGGATCGCGTTCGCGAAGGGTTATCAGAAAGGGCATCGCGAACGCGGACGGTAAGACACGAACGCGTAGAAGGAAAAAGGCTGGGGTCCTGGGATTGGTCTACGCGAACGCGTGGACCCTAACGCGAACGCGGGGAAGGAAACAGCAAAGCTTCGCGATCGCGGTGGTATGCACGCGAACGCGAAGAAGAAAGTGAAGCTGGGCCCTCATGGTCAAATAACCTTACGCGTTCGCGAGGGCCCGAACGCGAACGCGATGAAAGAAGGACACAAGGCTATGCGAACGCGATGGTAAGAGTGCGATCGCGAAGAAGGAAATCCCTGGGCAAAATATCAGATTTTTCTGCAACTTTTTACTAAGTTCAAAACACCCCGAACCACCTCCGAAACACTCCCGAACCCTCGGGGCTCCTAACCAAACACACACACTAACTCAACCACATCTTACGAACTTAACCGTGCGATCAAATCGCCAAAATAACATAAAAACGAGGAATCAAAGCTCAAAATCATCACTTTTTCATCAAACTTCATAAACTTTTATTTTTAGATATTTAGGTCCGAAACACGCCAAACGATGTCCGATTTCGACCAAATTTCACAGGAAGCGCTTAAACCACATATAAGACCTGTACCGGGCGCCGGAACCAAAATACGGGCTCGATACCAACGCTTTCTAATCCATTTCTATTTCAAATTTCCATATAAATTTCAGAAAAATAATTTCTTTTAAAAATTTATTTCTCGGGCTCGGGACCTCGGATTTCGATTCCGGGCATACGTCCGAGTCCCATATTNATAAATATTATTGGTTATTGATAAATGATCGTGGAAATTTATAGGAACAATACAATTTAATATGTTCAAATAAATCCGATTACAATTTAATATTCTTTGATACAATTCGCGCATCGCACGGGTGCGAATACTAGTTATTAATAAAAGGAATGATGTTTGCTATTTTCTCGAGTCGAGAGAAAATAATGAATGTTCAATTGTATAAATAATGAAAACCGAATGTTTAATGAAAAGGAAATAATGGAAGCTAATTTATAAACCTCTCATAACATAATATTGCATCAACTTCTTATATTTTAATATTGGTGAATTTATATTGTTTAGCAAATTATGTAATTGGATTAGTTAATCACTTCGTGAAGTTGCCCACGCTTCGTTCGATTGTGAAAAATATACTTATATTAGATTTACAGGAATATCAACAATTGCACATTTTAATAAAGCCTTTTAGTCTTCAAATTTAAATGGAGTTTTATCTATTTTATTATTAACATCTAGTTTTATAATATTTTTTGAAATTTTCATTAAGTAATTTTGTTTTTGTTTTTTGTTTTCTAAAGATACTAATGACTTCTTGATGGTACGGTTATTGATGTCATGATGATCAACAATGGTAACCTATGTTATTCTATTCTTAAAATTGCTCAATCTGGTGTCTCACAGCGAACTATACATACAACTCCTCACATATTCATAATTTCATATAAAGAAAAATTAAGAGAAATGATATAACTGAACAAATCAAATATGACAATTTTAGAAAAATGTTACGGTACATCAATATGAATAATATTGAAATAAAAAATGAAGAGCAACTAAATATGAGTTGTGTTATAAATCCTGCATCCACTTGCAACGATGCATATCTTCAGGTTTTGAATTGGTTTTGTATTCATAACAGGCTTTAAATTGGTTTTGTGTTCATAACAGGTTTTGAATTGATTTTGTATTCATAACAGATTTAGGATTGATTTGTAACAATGAAATACAACAACATATCCAGTATTATCTCACACTGTGGGGTCTGGGAAGGGTAGTGTGTACGCAGACCTTACCCCTAAGGATAGAGAGGTTGTTTCCAATAGACCCTCGGCTCAGAAAAGCATAAGCACCACATTAATGAGACAAGAAGGGGCAGTACCAAAAAGCTATATAAAAGTAGAATAAGAACAACAAGACAATAAGGTGATCAACAATGAAAGAAAACAATGGTTAGTCATAAAAATCTACTACCAACAGAAAGCGAGACTGCGCGCCAATACTACTGTTATGAACACTCTAGACTACCTACTCTACTACCCTACTCCTCGACCTCCATATCAAGGGTCATGTCCTCGCTCAACTGAAGCTGCGTCATATCTTGCCTAATCACCTCTCCCCACCTCTTCTTTGGCCTACCTCTACCTCTCCGTAGGCTCTCTAATGTCAACCTCTCACGCCTCCTCACTGGGGCGTCTGTGCTCCTCCTCACATGACCAAACCACCTAAGCCACGCTTCCCGCATCTTGTCCTCAATAGGGGTCACACCCACCTTGTAACAATAAAATATTTCTATAAATAGGTTCATTGATGAACCTATTAAAGACATTTTGAAACGAAGAAAGAAACTTTCTTTTATAATATTATCATTCTCTTCTATTATTAGTCCTAGTTAATTACATAGTTCTTATTATAATGCTTTTATTTCATAACACGTTATCGGCATGAAGCTAAGCTCTAACCAAATTCATTATCTCTAAGTTGTGTTTATTCTGTTAGAAAATATAACAGAATATAGGGACGAAATAATTAGGCTTTGATAGTGTAGTCACTGTCCTTAAGGAATTTAAGCCTCCCAATTTCGTTGCTGGAAGATAGCAGAAAAGAAGAAGATACTTTGTTGCTTTTCTGATAATTTTTGTTTTGGAGAAGAAAAGGGTATTTATAAACCCTTTAGGTGTCTGTTAGGACTAACAGACTCAACCTTTGCCAATAGGCACCTTTTAATACCAAAAGTCACCTCTTTTCAAACCCTTTAGGTGTCTGTTAGGACTAACATACTCAACCTTTGCCAATAGGCACCTTTTAAAACAAAAGTCACCTCTTTTTAAAATTAAAACGTTTTAATATTTAAAATGTTTTTTTATTAATTAATAAAACTAATAGATGACTAAAAGAAATAAATTTCGGGCTATTTAATTGGCCCAAAGCACCAAGTGCCCAAGTGCCCAAGTGCCCAATCTTGACTATTAATATAGCCAAATTCTAGTCCCCTCCAAAACATCTTTAAATTATTCAAATCATGTAAGACAAAGAAGTGTTTTTAAACACTTCTTCCTTTCTTTCTTTGTCCAATGAGGGACAAAGCAACCTCTTCTCAAATACTCCCATCAAAACACTAACTAATATAATAATCCCCCACTTAGTTAGTGGTTGATGTTGTTTATAAGATTCATGCGTATAAACCACAATTGATGGTTAGATTAAGTTCTATTAAACCACAATTCCTATTTGACAAGACGGAAAAGCTTTATACACATAAATCGTACCAACTTCACAATTTGTTCACAGTGAGTTTTAGCACCCAATTATGGCCTTGTGCTACTTCCTGAATTCATAAACACTTATCAAGTTTTGTATCCCAAACTTTGATTGAAGCGGCACCACTTCTTGTGTTTACATAGGTTAAGATTTAACCAAATCCTTAACACGGACTTCTTTAGTTCCTAAATCGAACTCTGCTTCTTCACTAAGAGTATTTTTTATACTCATCCTCCTTTTCTAGGTACTAATTTCCAGTACCTGCTATTTGTCACAACTATAACTTGTTATTACCTTTTAAACCTTTAATATTGTTGGACAATAAGAAAGGTAAGGTTCCCTTTACTAGTGACAAATTTAAATTACCTCAGACCCATAGCACTTGTTGTGCTTATTATCATATCCCTCGCGAGTCCTTTAGTGAATGGGTCAGCAAGGTTGTCTTTAGACTTGATGTACACAACAGTAATAATTCTATCCGAAATTAATTGTCTTATGTACTCATGTCTTAAAGCAATATGTCTAGATTTTCCATTGTATATTTTGCTAAATGCCTTAGACATAGTTGCTTCACTATCACAGTGCAAGAGAACAGCTAGCATTGGTTGTGGCCACAACTTTATATCTAACAACAGATCTCTCAGCCATTCTGCTTCTCTTCCTGCAGCTGCTAAAGCAATAAACTCAGATTCCATTGTGGAATGAGTAATACACGTCTGTTTCTTAGAAGCCCATGAAATTGCTCCTCCACCTAAAGTGAATATCCACCCAGACGTTGACTTGTTATCACCAACACTAGTTATCCAACTAGCATCACAATATCCTTCTAACACTGAAGGAAATCTGTTATAATACAAGGCAAAAGTTTTTGTCCTTTTTAGATAACCAAGTACCCTCACTATATCTTTCCAGTGATCACCACTTGGATTGTGAGTATATCTTGACAATTTACAAACTGCAAAGGCAATATCTGGCCTAGTACAGTGCATAGCATACATTAAACTACCAATTGCACTGGCATAGTCTAATTGACTAACAGATCTTCCGGGGTTCTCAACCATCTTGCTAGAAGCATCAAATGGAGTATTAAATTCTTTAATACCCAAATGATTAAATTTGGAAAGAACCTTGTCAATATAGTGAGACTGACATAAGGCAAAACCCCCACTATGTCTTTTAACTTTAACACCTAAGATAGTATCAACTTCTCCCAAATCTTTCATTTTAAATTGAGAAGTTAAATACTTCTTAGTTTCATTTATGCCTTGCATGTTAGTTCCTATGATTAGCATGTCATCAACATAAGGACATACTATCACTCCATAGTCCTTTGTGAATTTGGAATAAATTCATTTATCTGCTCCGTTATGTTTAAAACCATTTGATAATATAACACTATCAAATTTTTCATGCCATTGTTTTGGAGCTTGTTTTAATCCATACAAGGACTTAACTATTTACAAACTTTCTTCATATTTCCAGGAAGCACAAACCCTTCGGGTTGCTCCATATAAACTTCTTCATCAAGATCACTATTTAAGAATGCCGTCTTAACATCCATTTGATGGACATTTAGATTATATATTGATGCCAAAGCAAATAATACTCTTATTGAGGTAATCCTGGCCACAGGAGCATATGTGTCAAAATAATCTACTCCTGCCTTTTGTCTAAATCCCTTGGCTACTAGTCTAGCTTTAAATGTTTGTAGAGAACCATCAGTATTGTATTTTCTTCTAAAAGCCCATTTACACCCAATAGGTTTAGTATTAGAAGGTAAATCTGCCAATACCCATGTACCATTTGATAAAAGAGAATCCATTTCATCATTTACAGCTTCTTTCCAGAAAGAAGAATCCCGCGAAGCCATAGCCTCACTATAGGTTTTAGGATCCTCTTCTAAATTTAAAATAATGGGTATTTTATTTAATACTTCATCTCTACTTCCTTCTAGCAAAAAGACTAGTGCTTGAGAAGAAATAAAATCAAAACCTATATTTTTTTCTTTTCTAACTCTTTGACTTTTTCTTGGTTCTACAGGAGATTCAATTGCCTTTCTTTTATTGTTAGAAGAAGAACTAGGTTCTGCACAATTTTCTTGAGTTACTGCATTATCACCAATGCTTGTTGCATTACCATCTTGTTTAGTAATTTCTGTGTCCTCATGTGAATTATTAGAGTCACCAATGAACTTTGTTTCCAAGAACTCAACATCTTTAGATTCCACAATATACTTAGACTCAATGTCCAATAATCTGTATGCCTTTGAGTTCTCAGCATATCCTACAAATATGCTTTTAATTCCTCTAGGTCCTAACTTAGTCCTTTTAGGATCTGAAATTCTATAATAGGCTAAACGGCCCCATACCCTTAAGAAATTTAGGTTAGGCTTTCTTTCTTTCCATAATTCATATGGTGAAACCTTAAATTTCTTTGAAGGAACTCTATTATGCACAAAACAAGTCGTTAACAAAGCTTCCCCCCACAAATTCGTTGGTAACTTTGCATGTAAAAGCATGGCATTAACCATATCTACCAACGTTCTATTTTTTCTTTCAGCAAGACCATTTTGTTGTAGGGTATACGGTGCACTAACTTGGTAAATCAAACCATTTTCTTCACAAAATACAAAAAATTCATTGGAAAGATATTTGCCTCCTCGATCACTACGTAGGATTTTAATCTTCTTTTCCAATTGATTTTCAACTAATGCTTTGTAACTCTTAAACATATCAAATGCTTGATCTTTTGTTTTCATTAAGTAAACATGTGTATATCTAGAATGATCATCTATAAAAATAATAAAGTATCTATTTTCACCTCTAGTTAAATGACCATTCAATTCACATATATCGGAATGCACAAGTTCAAGTAGATTACTTGTTCTTTCATTCTTTGGAAAAGATTTCTTAGTCATCTTAGCTTGTATGCAAATTTCACATTTTTTATCATTATTCTCAACAGCAGGAATTAATTTATTTTTAGACATAAACTTAACATATCGAAATTAACATGTGAAAGTCTAGCATGCCATAAATTAATAGATGACTCAATCATATAAGCAGAAACTTCAACTTTATTAATACTTAATTTGAACATGCCCTCACAAGAGTAGCCTTGTCCTACAAATACACCATTCTTAGAGAAAATAATCTTTTCTACCTCTATAACAGTTTTGAGGCCTTTCTTACTTAATAAACTTGCAGAAATTAAATTCTTCCAAACATCAGGTACATGATGAACATTAATTAAAATCAACTTCTTTCCCAAAGTGAATTGTAGTTCAACTGTTCCTTTTCCAAAGACCTTGGCGGTGTCATGATTTCCCATTAAAACCTTTTCATCACTTGTTGCAACTTCATAATGTTTGAAGAAACTCTTGTCATTGCATACATGAACTGTAGCACCGGAATCATACCACCAATCTGCAGATTTCATAGTTTCTGTCATGTTGCATTCAGTTACCATACTCAGATTCAAGTTGGTAAAAGCAGAAATCATAGCAACAATATCTGAAGAAGAAGCTTGTTGTTGTTCAACATTATTTACCCTCTTCTGTCTAGCATTTTCTTCATTTTTCTGTCTCTTACGAAACCTGCAATCTCTCTTAAAATGACCCATTTTTCCGCAAGTATAACATGGACCTTTCTTAATGTTAGAAGAATTTTCCTTTGGAGCAGCCTCAAACTTTCTCTTCTTTCCAGCCTTGTTTTCAGATTTTCCTGAGTTGTTTGCCTTACTAGACTCAACATAATTCACCTTTGAACTAGTTTCCGCAGCATATTTATTTTCACGTTTTCGTGACTCTTCTTCAATCCGAATATGCTTTGTCAACTGGTCCACATTAAAGTCTTCGGAAGAATGTAATAATTTCTTCCTATAGTCATTCTAAGTGGCTGGTAATTTTGCAAGTATAGCAGCCACTTGAAGAGATTCAGAAACATCGATTTTAAAATCTTTGAGTCTAGATATCAAACCAGCAACTCATCAACCTGTTCCATGACAGATTTCTCATCTATCATTTGAAATTCAAAAAATTTCATTCCAAGGAATCTGTTCGTTCCTTGCTTCACAACAGTATATTTCTGTTCCAAGGCTTTCCAGATTTCTTGTGGTGATTTGTGAGGACGGAACAAATCATATAAACGATCAGAAAGTGAGTTTAAAATAAAACCTCTACAGCGCACCTCATCATCTTCACATTATTTGCGTGCCGCCTTAATTTTGTCAGAGTCTTCAGCAGTAGGTTCTGGCATTGCAGTAAGATCAGAACTCAACAGATATGCTATTCCCAACTCCGTGAGAAAGAACAGCAATTTGTCTTTCCAGCGGGTGAATTTGAGCCATCAAATCGATCCAGTTTGAACACTTCGAACATCTTGTTGAAACCAGAATCACTACCAGAAGCCTCCATTGCAGTGTTGTTAAATTCCTTAAGATTGTTAGAAAATATAACAGAATATAGGGACGAAATAATTAGGCTTTGATAGTGTAGTCACTGTCCTTAAGGAATTTAAGCCTCCCAATTTCGTTGCTGCAGGGATTATGGCAGAATTCCTCCAGGATTTTACAAAGCCTCTGAAACTCGAGCACCAGCAATTAACTCGAATTTCCACTTGAACAAATTTGGTGAATTGAAGATAGCAGAAAAGAAGAAGATACTTTGTTGCTTTTCTGATAATTTTTGTTTTGGAGAAGAAAAGGGTATTTATAAACCCTTTAGGTGTCTGTTAGGACTAACAGACTCAACCTTTGCCAATATGCACCTTTTAATAGCAAAAGTCACCTCTTTTCAAACCCTTTAGGTGTCTGTTAGGACTAAAAGACTCAACCTTTGCCAATAGGCACCTTCTAAAACAAAAGTCATCTCTTTTTAAAATTAAAACGTTTTTTTATTAATTAATAAAATTAATAGATGACTAAAAGAAATAAATTTCGGGCTATTTAACTGGCCCAAAGCACCAAGTGCCCAAGTGCCCAATCTTGACTATTAATAATATAGCCAAATTCTAGTTCCCTCCAAAACATCTTTAAATTATTCAAATCATGTAAGACAAAGAAGTGTTTTTAAACACTTCTTCCTTTCTTTCTTTTTCCAATGAGGGACAAAGCAACCTCTTCTCAAATACTCCCATCAAAATACTAACTAATATAATATATTCTCTTTCTCAGAACAAGGTATTTTTCTTTTAAGCTTATTCTGGTGCTACTGCTATGCGTAATAGAGTAAAATGATGATAATAGTTACATCTGCTACTGGATAATCCCTTCACCAATATTTGCTTGGTACCATTATACTATTTATCAGTTGAAAATAAATTAGTAACTAGACACATCCTTCAGGCTAATATACTTAATAAATGGTAACAATTATATGCAGGCCTGCATGTTTTCCATTTTCCCTTCACTAAGCATACGTCCAAACATTTCTTAATTGTTGTGAATATGATGGTCAAATTGATACTGGTATTAGTATGGGATTATTAGTTATAGCACAAATGGATCATTGTTTTGAAATTAATTTGCGAATTGCTTAGAACAATTAGAAAATCATTTTAACATTAGGGGATGAGAATAAGCAACTGAAAAAGGATACAGACTGGAATGCATTATCACTATCTTATTTAGATTCTCGCAAAAATTAATATGAACGGGAGGTTCAAAAGATAATCCATTTGCAAAGTATTACAAATCAACTGCCAGATGCATTTACCAATCTACCAAGGATTAGTAAATCTCATATTTCAGCTTCAAATGCTCCAATTCGAGTTGATGTCCTCGTAGGACAATCTGTTAAAGCAAATGAGTCTAAGTCACACTTAAAACATGGTAGATCAATTGGTTTAAAGATTAAAAAAAGTCCTCAAAAAAGAAAAGGGACAATTGATCAAGATGGTCATAATATGGAGGTAGTTGCTCAAGAAGAGCCCCGAGATATAACAATTGATAAAATCTCAGGAGAGGTTCAGGTACCTAAAAATGTTGAAAATGAAGAGATATTAATAAATTATGTCTCAACTAGAAAAAGATGGAATCGAAATGATATAGTTGTCAACAATGTTTTGTAATTGTTGAAATAATGCAATAAGATAAGGATCTTGAACCGAAATCTGTCGATGAATGTACACGAAGAAATGATTGGCCAAAATGAAAAGATGTTATCCAAGAAGAATTGACTTCACTTAGAAAAACGTGAAATTTTTAGATCTATAGCCCGAACACCTGAAGGTGTAAAGCCAGTGGGGTACAAATAATTTTTTGTGCGAAAAAAAATGAAAAAAATAAAGTTGTAAGATTCACGACTTGTGGCACAAAAAATTTCGTAACGACCTGGAATGATTATATAGAGACATATTCTTCTGTAGTGGATGCAACATTCAGGTATCTTATCAGTCTGGCAATTCATGTAAACTTGATATGCGTCTTATGGATGTTATCACGGCCTATTTATATGGTTCACTAAATAACAAAATTTTATGAAAATCCCTGAAAGATTCAAAGTGCCTGAAACATATAAAGATTCCCGAGAAACTTGTTCGATAAAGCTTCAAAAATCCTTATACGGATTGAAGCAATTAGGGCGCATGTGGTATAATCACCTTAGTCAATACCTATTGAAAGAAGGGTACAAGAATGAACCAATTTGGCCTTATGTCTTTATAAAAGGATCTGGATTTGATTGTCATAATAGTTGTGTATGTTGATGACTTGAATATCATTGGAACTCCTGAAGAGCTTCCAAAGACGGTAGAATGTTTGAAGAAAGAATGAAATAAAAGATTTTAAAAAGATAAAATCTTGTCTTGGCTTACAAATTGAGCATTTGAAAAATAAAATATTTGCCCATCAACCAATGTACACCAAAATTATTTTGAAGCGCTTTTGTATGGATAAAGCACCTCCATTGAGTACCCCGATGATTGTGAAGTCGCTTGACATAAATAAAGATCCATTTCGTACTCATAAAAATAATGAAGAACTTCTAGGTGCTGAAATACCATATCTTAGTGCAATTGGGGCAATACTGTACCTTGCTAATAATTCTAGATCAGATATAACTTTCTGTAAGCTTGTTAGCAAGATTTAGTTCTTCTTTAATACAAAGACATTGGAATAGTATTAAGCATCTATTCAGATATATCCGAGGGACCATTGATATGTGATTATTTTATTCAAATGAATTCAGTTTACAACTGATTGGTTATGCAAATGCAGGATATTTGTTTGACCCACATAAAGGACGGTCTCAAACAGGATATTTATTCACATATGGAGGTACTGTCATATCATGGAGTTCAACAAAATAAATTATGATTGCTACTTCTTTAAATCATGCGGAGATAATAGTCATTCATGAAGCGAGTCGAGAATGTGTTTGGTTGAGATCAATAAATCAACATATCCAAGAGATATATGGTCTTTCATTGGGAAAGGATATTCCAATAACGTTGTATGAAGACAATACTGCATGTATTGCTCAACTAAAAGGGGAATATATTAAAGGAGATAGAACAAAGCATATTTCACCAAAATTCGTTTTCACGTATGATATTCAAAAGAATGGTGACTAAAATGTTCAATAAATTCGTTCAAGTGATAATTTGGCAGATTTGTTCACTAAGGCATTGCCGTCATCAACATTTGAGAAGTTGAGATACATGATTGGAATGCATCGTCTCCGAGATATCAAATAAAATTTTTATCAGTTTGTGAGAAATACACGTTGTACTCTTTTCCCTAAACCAAAGTTTTGTCCCATTTGAGTTTTCCTGGTAAGGTTTTTAATGAGGCAACTCTTAATGCGTATTACAAGATATGTGTACTTTTTTTCCTTCACTAGGATTTTTTCCACTGAGTTTTTCTTTGTAAGGTTTTAATAAGACACATTATCCGTTAATGGACATCCAAGATGGAATGTTATAAATCCTGCAAGTTGATTCATCCACTTGCAATAATGGATGTTTGAATTAGTTTTGTATTTGTATAGGGTAAAATATGTTATATTAAATGATCGCATGAGAAAGTGACATGTGGAGCCGAAAACAGAAGATAGCTGAAACCGAAAGCAACGATCCCGTGTGTTACCGGAAAGAATGATACTCATAAAGATGAAATAAATGTCTGTCAACCGGTAGCATTTAATAAAGAATATTCTACAACATCAAGTACATTGCCCCTTACAAGAAATATGGCATTCACCTCAACCATAGCCATGGATCGGATTTAGCACATTTCGGATTCGGATTTCGGATTTCGGATTCTACGAAATGCAATCCGAATCCGATCCGAATTAATATCGGATCGGATCGGATTTTTAAGTTTGGATCGGATCGAATTTTTGGATTTCGGGTTGGATTATTATGCCTCAAAGTTGCAAACTCATATATATATATATATATANTATATATATATATATATATACATATATATATATATATATATATATATATATATATATATATATATATATATATATATATATATATTTTCTTTGTAAAAGAGGCAATACAGTAAGAAAAAAATCCATGTTTCTGCAATTATGAGAGTACTATGGTGCCAATATAGCTAAATCCACCAATTGCAGGGGTAATAACTAGGAGGAAGATGTAAAGGAAGTACTGACTATCCGAAACTAAAGTTTAATATTTATACATGCCCTAATAATTTCGGAATTTGGATCGGATCGGGTTACAATTATACCAATCCGAATCCGATCCGAATATCCGAAATTTTAATAAAAACACAATCCGAAATCCGATCCGAATATCGGAAATCCGAAAATGAGCGGATCGGTTCAGATTTCGGATATCCGATACAAATGAACAGCCCTACATCACACCTCTTGGTTAGGACATTAGTTGATATATGAGAAACATACAGTTAAGCTACACCTGCCCAGAACATACTACTGCCCCGGGGAAATAGTAGATGGGCAGATTATAACCTAACATGTAGAATCTCTGGTAAAAACATGTTGTTTAAGCGAACTAGACTTAACATAACAATAGCTTAAGTAGGGAAGTGGGAATCTGAGCATGCTGAAACAAGTAGCTCAGACACCCCTGGGACATGGGCCAGATTTTAAGCATCACAAGCCAAAGTGGTCAATATCTAAATGCCCTCGCTTCTCAACTGGCTTCACAATATGCCTGTTACAAGTTAATATATAAACAAGCAATTGCAGAATCAGAAAATTATACAAGTAGATTCAAGAAAATACTAGAATGTCACATTTGGGATTTGAAGCTGTGATCTAAAAGCAACTTTCAAAATCCCCTTTAACACTGCACTAAAATTATGTCAAGGAGATGGAACAATTTATATATAACAAAAAAAGAATTGTTTTTGCCTTATTTGCCAGTATAATTTTCAACACCAAGGGGGATTCAATTGAACCCCTGTGCCTATATTTAGCTTCGCCCCTGTGAGCAAGCAAACCGGGAAAGATGGGAATGCAACTAATCAAATTAGGAAAAGGAGAAGCTGATAAGGATGGGGGCCTCTTGGGCAGAAGTAAAATATTCACTCGACAATTGTTCCTCGTAAAAGGAATATAACCAATTCCCACAAGTCCTAAATAGAGGTGACCACTTTACCAGACAACCTACTTAGCCTACAAATCTTTATAAGGGACTAGCTAAAGCAACCTAGGTCCAGATTAATGAGAGTAAGTTTCCAACAGAGTTGGACCTTAAGACTGACGAGAATCTCAAGACACGTGTGTTGAAATTCTAGCGGGCATGGGAAATCAGCTCAGCTCTCCAAGGAAGATTTCCTGGGATATGAGGGGAGTTATATATAGAGGGCACAAAAAGCTTATCAAGCAAACAAACGGAGGGCAGAAAGAAAGCATTAAGATCAGTTTCTGATAGTTTTAGGAGTTCAATTTCCTTCAGCTACTTCTGCGCCTCCCAGTAATTCTACACTAGTTTCCCATCCACTTGCTTTAATATTTGACTTAGTTGGAACATGGAAGGACTGACATCTAAGTCACTCTCATTTATTTTTCGGCTCTATCTTTACTCACCATCCAATCTAAGCTGGTCCCTATTACGGTTTCAATCTATGTTGACAAAGCAAAACCTAAGTAGCTTACCTATATCGCTCAATCAAAAAAGCCCTTACACATAAATGGCACAGGGAATATGACCACCGAAGCTGAGTAAAGACCTAGAGTTAGAGCACCGATGCTGCACGCCCATGAGGGCACTTGCAATGGAAACAAATTTTGTTCCATTTTCTTTCCTCCGAGATACGAGGCATCTTACAAAAATATTTACCTTTTCAAGAAAGATCTATAGTTAAACGCAGCTTGCGCACCATGATTATTCTACCTTACCTGCATCTTCCCAGCCAATATATATGCATTGGTAACTCTACCAATCAAGGCTAATGAGAAGAAATCAGCTATTTTTGTGCATATTAGAATTTGAACCCTTCTCTCTTATGACGCTCCAGCTTCATTGATGCTAGACCATGCCCAAGAGTGTTCACATTATCCACTGGCTAAAAACAAATATATCGACTACACAGACATGTTCTTAGATATTCAATATGGGAATACTATTGGAAGTTGAGAAATGGAGTAAAGCACAAAGATACCTCACAGACGTAAAAGGTAAAATCCATACTGAAATTCATCAACGAAAACTATCATCAAGCTTGCACAATGAAGAAGAGAGGACCAACTAAGCAGATACAAGAACAAGAATTTATAAAGCTGAAATCAGACAAAAGCAATTAATTCCATTAAAGTGAACTAGATGAAGCTTGAGAAACCATAATTCATTTATTCATCCAGATTTCTATATCTTTCTTAATCTAAATATCAAACACAACAATATTAAATAATCCATAAACCTCGATCAGTGAGATGTGAAGGCGACAACACAAATTATATGCCCCTCAACATAGATTATTAGAAAAATTGGAAGGGTTGATTTAGCTTCTGTTTTGGACCTATTACTATCAGTTCTTCAGAGTTGAAATCATTCGAAATAACAGCAAAGGAAATATCTTTCGGCCATTACAAAGGGGAAACAATGAACGCTATGCCTGAAAAAGGGATTTCAACACGGGCGAAGATGCAGACTTAGTAATAAATTCCTCACCAGATTAAAACAAGTTTACGTCTTTCTCCTCAAGCACTTTCTAAGCTTCTTCAATTTGTGCTTGTTCATCTTCCTCTTCCTCTTTTTCTTCACACTATCCGCCCAAATCTTTACTGAGTCTTCGTTTACATCGTTCTCGGATTTAACCAACTCATTTGGAGAAATGGGGTTAAGAAAAAACCCATTTGGGTTAAGAAAAAGACCAAAAGAAAAACTTGGGTAAAGATTCAATTTTGATTCCACTGTTTCTCTTTGGAGAAAAAAGGGTATCTGATTATGTCTGCTGCAAGGTGGATGGGCCAAGATTTGTGGTGTAGAACTGAAAATTGCTGGTTCGAATTTATTAAGGTTAGTGAGAATTCTTGGTTGAAATTGGTTTCTCAGAGCTTTTCGGAGAATTGAAGCCATTTCGATTAAAATTGTTACAGCGTTGAACCACCAAAAAAGGGAAAAATATATCACCTAGGGCTTTGGGAGATTTGTGCAAAAATGGGAAAAAGAAAGGAAGAGTTCAAAAAACATTATGCTTTGCCCCCATGCAAGATCGAACTACAGACCTTCAGTTTACAAGACTGACGCTCTACCACTGAGCTATAGGGGCTTTGTGCTTGGCATCGAAATAGTCTTTAATAAATTTGTTGTGACTGTAAATTGAAATTTAAGTTATTAAGTGGCCGTTTGGAAGAATTAAAAAATTCCAAAAATTCAAGTAAATATGATATTTGAAAATTAGAGTTGTGTTTGAGCATGCCTATAATTTTGGGTTATTTTTAAATTTTAGTGAGTGATCTGAGTAAAAATTTTGAAAAATAGATTTTTTGAATTTTTAAAATTTTTAAAAAATTCCAAAATTCATCTTCAATTTTCATGACCAAATGGGCTCTAAAGCCTCTATATTATCAAAATCACATTAATTTTATCGCAACGATACAAATCTGCAATACGGAGCTTAGCTTGAACCAATTAATTGATTACTTGAGTATAGGATGTTTGCACTTTTCTTTTGTCACTCATAAAGATCAGTTCTCTCGTGTCAAATTGGGTAAAAGGGTAAAACTAACTTGAGTCATATTCGCGGTAATCAAAGTTACTCACATATGGTATGTAATTACACCAAATCATATAATTTGATATGGTTAAGTGAGAAATTGAAGTGAAAGTATATATTTAGTTAACCATAATCAAGTGATACAAGTGAATATGAAAGACATTTGTCATATATTCATTGTGATTAGTAAACCAGGCTAGGAGTGAAGGTTACAAAATTTTAGCTTATCATTTGTGGTTACTGATTACGGATTGCGCTATACAACAAACTAAATGTTACTATAATACACCGAGTCTAGTACAAAGAACTTATAACTCTTCTCAAGTAATCAATTAATTGGTTCAAGCTAAGCTATTGTACTTTGGAGCTTTACATTTGAATACAAATTATTCATTCGTGCACTGGTTTGAAGTTTCTGTAAGCTACAACTGCGTAAAAAGGATCAGATGAAGCTGATAACAACCCTGTCAACTGCATTATCCAATTTAGAGGCGATTTATTTTGTGGAGCCGCAGCATCTTTTCCGGTTGGTAATTTTCGAATCACCTCTGGCTGTGTAAATCCTTCAATGCACTGGAAATATTGCACCACAAGTTGCACCCTACCATACCCTGTACTGTCCCTCCATGCACTAATTGCTTTCTCGTAGAATAGTCTGTTACTGAAACTTACAGTAAAAACTCCTCCTGGTTTTAGAACACGAAATGCCTCCGCAAACACCTGAAAATTTTAATTAATACTATTATAGATCGTTTGGTTAATTTGTGAGTGAGTTGTCTAGGAATTTTGATGCAAGAATTGTAATTCTATTAAAAGATCATTGGAGCGTTGTATTTGTTATCAGATGATTAGTATCGTGTTCATATCATATGTTTAAATTATAGATATTGGTGTATCATCTAAAACATGTGTTTGGTTCTGAATTTTTAATACCCATGACCTATATGGATTAATAAATCCTGATGTTGAAAAATTAAGAAGACGGATACTAAAATAGGGCACATAAATAAAACTTGTACTCCTCTTACAAATATGCAAGCTCTATTAAAAACAATCTAATTCTCATAGTCTTAATTAATAGTTAAAACAAATTAGAATTTAGAAGTAATACCCACGGGTTGATCAACTAAACAAGCAATAGTAATATTCTCAAGAGAATTTTTTTCGTTTACTTGATTCGAATATATATATATATATTGTTATTTTATATTATAAAGTTAATAAAATACAAAAAAACAATATGCAACATAATTATTAATATAATGATCAAAATATAAACTAAGCCTCGTCTTGTTAATGCAAAATTTAGTAGTACTAATATATGTGACGATCAATCCCTTAGTCATGTTACGATTTGCTAACTTACGCTTCACCAAAGATTTTACAATACATTACGATTTGGTACCTCCACCCACGACCGTTAGATTCTGAGTTCGAGTCACGCTGGAGGGGAAGTGAAACACTATAGATCCTCCTAATTGGGAAGGGAATTTTAAAAAAGAAAATTGAAAAAAAATATTACGATTTGGCACATGTGTGGCTTATAATCAACCACACATTTTGCTACCTCTATGTGGTTGTAGTATCACTTGATTCTATCCTTCTCTTCCAAATTAGTTGCAAAAAATCTAGACATTTTCGGATTATTCATCCATCTTTATCATCTAATTAAGGGATCAATTAGGTTAAATTACTGACCTTCTCAGGCTGTTGAAGATATTGCACACTGACTGTACACAATACAGCATCAAAACTACAATTTTCAAACTCAAGTTTCTGATCTTGATTCAAATCCTTCACAAAGAAATAGTCCAATCTGGGATTCTTGGCCAACTCTTGAGCATTAAGTCCATGACCCACCACCCTTTTGTACTTCACCTCTTGTGGTAAATGACTGACCCATGAGCTCATAAGGTCAAGAATCTCAAACTCGGGTCTCAGGCGTTCCCTATAAATATATGTGTCAAATGGTCGAGTTGGGCTAAATAAAGGCGATTTAAAATGGACTGAATCAATAAATGAATCAATCATATACCAACTTAACTTACTCAAACTTGGGCGGGTTATATTTTTATGGGCTAAATTTGACGCTCGTACCTGTAAAGATTTGTTAAAGAGGAAATGAAACGATCATCGACGTGTGTAACAAATCTTGGGTAGGCATAGAATTCCCTGTCCGGTAAAATGTTAAGTTTGGTTCTTCCCTCTTGACTAAGAACCATACGTTTGATTTTTCCTGCTGCTGATTCTGTTGAATTATCATCTCCATTATAGGCTTTGGGAATTATTGAGGGAAGAGCTCTGATTTTAGTTGGAAGAGAAAAGAATTGTAAGTTTGATGAATTGGTAAATTGCCATGTTTTAGGATGGGAGTTTGGTGCTACACTGAACGACATGACTCGTTTGCTTAGATGAACATAGAAATCAATTTATGATTTTTCTTTTGGATCTTTAATTTTAACATTCACCAATGGCTGAAATTACTTGTTGGCCCATAGGGAACTGGACTGGTGGCTGCACGTAATTTCGACCATTTTCCATTCAGCCCACATGATATCTGCACTAGCTAAAAATTTTTGAAAAATTAATCACAGAGGCGAATCAAGGATTTGAGCATGACGGGGCACTAAAGTGAAGCAAAAATGTTAATAAACTCAACCAAAGCTGCCATCCAGCCTTTTATTTTTTTGGGCATCGGTAAATTATTAAAAGGGCCCTTCATGTATACACTGATATACGAGAGATATATACATTATTTTTGCCGAGACTAACGAGTTTCGGTGACCTCTCTATCTCATATGTAGGTCCGCCCATGCGTTCACTCAACCATTTAAACTAAAAGATAGCTTACAAATGTTACTAATATATACATAGATTTTATGTGTATAGTCGATATATGCTGGTTAGGAAAAGTAAACAATAAATTTGGTTGACTGTTTGGGTAAAGAATCAAATCGTTTTATCTTAGTTTCACATTCATAGCTCCATCGGCTCCGTAACTACTAGTCTCTCCGTTCCAGTTTATGTGAACCTATTTCTTTTTTGGTCCGTTCCAGAAAGAAGGACCAATTTCTAAATTTGGAAACAATTTAGCTTAAACTTCCAATTCTACCTTTAATGAGAAGCTTTTATAATCACGTAAATACGGGAGAAATTCAAAAAATAGCCAGATTTACAAGTGGTCATTCAAAAATAGTCACGGTTTCAAAAGTAATCGAAATTTAGCCACTTTTCATGTAAAGATAAATCTGAACGAAAACACTATTCAAAATCCGAAAAATACTCCAGCATAAATATACTGGAATTCCCGTATATTATACTGGAACTCCAGTAACTCCAGTATAATATGCTAGAGTTCCAGCATAAGTATACTGGAGTTCCAGTATAATATACCGGTCCAGCATAATATGCTGGAAGTTCATACACAGGTGCTCCAATCTCCAGTATATTATGCTGGAACTTTCCGCGTGTTGGAGTTCCAGCATAATATGCTGGAAGTGCATACACAGGTGCACCGATCTCCAGTATATTATGTTGGAACTTTCAGTGTTGCAGCAAAATAGTGGCTATATTTCAATGACTTTGCAAACTCTGGCTATTTTGAATGATGTTGCGACCAAAAATACCCACGCAAGTGCACGTGATCGTCAAGTAATAGAGTAGTGAGTAGAGTATCGTTCCCTCGAAGACTTGTGATCAACTATTGACTGATTCAAACCCAATTACTTTACTTATTCAAGAGATGTGTCACAAAATAAAGATATATTTATTTCACTACCTAAATTATCAAGAAATAATCTAACTAAAGCAATTAACCAAACGAATAGCAGTTTCGAATAACACACAGTAGGAGAGGATATTCCAGGGTCACGGGCTAGTTAACAATCTTGTTGTGTCCTTAACTTAAGATGACTAATCGATTTATCTGGGTTATTGATTGACAAGGTTTATATTACTCGTAAGAATCTGTCGAGTTCTTACTCGCCTGCTCAAGTTAACTCAATGCCTATATTTCTATGGAATTAAGATTAACAAGAACGCATTTACAATTCCTGTATTTTAACCAAGCAAGGCAAGTGGGTATATGTCTATCCCAATTGCAAATCCGTTCCCCGAGGCCCGGGTTCAAGAACCTGCTCTATTTAATCCTATATGCAACCTAGAATTCCCACTTTCGAGTTCAATTCTAGATTCATAGATAGTGTTTCACCGTTAGCTACTCAGCAAAATAATTAATAACAGAATTAAATAAACAACCCAATATGATGAACCAACTTTGTCAAATTAAACCTCAAACAACAACATTCATGTTTTACCCATGACCCTAGAACAATGGGTTTTAGCCACTCATACTATTGTTCATCACAAGTATATTCAATTTCATCATAATTAGCAAAAACGAAGAGAAGAGAAGAAAAACTTGATGATCCAATTTCCTCCTTGCCTCTTGCCTCTCTCTGTCTTGCTTTAGCCTATGAAAATCTTGATAAAAACTTCCTTGGGCG